AAGTCCTGCGTACGCCATTATATATCCTTATGAAGTTTATTGGATAAACAGGGATTGTTTAATGCCTTTCACGATTGATAACGTGTAACAACACAAACACTATACTTACATATTTGCTTCTCGTTAAATTGTGAAAAACTTTCTAAAATGTTCAAACTAATTAGTGATGAGCAAAGCAAGACCAAGATTTTCTCTTGATTAAAAGAGCAAGTCTTGGTTTTGATCTTGTTCTTGCATACATAGTCTTGGTCTTGCAAGTCCTGCTTTTATATAAGCCGTAAAATGCAACGGACTTAAGTAATAATAACAAGAATAATAGTTAAATTAAAAGATAATAATAATCAATACAACTCAATAAAAAAAATATCAGACTATTTGCTGTTTTAACAAGTTTAATTATTTTGTAATTCAAAATTGTTGACCCGTACTTTTGCATTGCCTGTTAAGATCCAGAAGATCTTCATCCAGAGAAATTGAATATATTTTCATGTAGTGTAATTTACATATTCTAACGAAAGTGTAATAACAATGAAACAGTAAACAGTAGATATTTAAATATTTTGATTGGTCTTACAGAATTTTACTGATGAACTATTGAAAAAACTCACTTATTAATAATGCACATGATTCGTCGCAAGGATTAATTTATAGTACTGTTTACACAGCAACTATGTGCAAGGAATATTGCAAAAATAATTACTAAAGTACATTGTAAACTGTTCATAGAAATTTATTTACTGCTTGAGATTTTACTGTTTTAATTCTCCGAATCGCTCAAAATACGAATTCCGAGTGACCACCACAGATTATCAAACTATTGCCAACTATAGATAAAAGTGGTGGCAACTCAGCCCACATGGCTATCCACAGACTACTCACTATTCTATTCTGTCTAACCCGACCACAAAATATCCCCCCTTGGGGGTATGTTCTGTGAACCCGACTTTCCGCATTGTTGTTTTTATCTGTGGTTTTAATTTTTAGGTTATATAATATAAAAAATGCCGAATTTTGGTGAAGATTGGAAATTAAATGAATGAATAATAAACGCGAACAGCATGCCGAAGATCAAAGACGTTGTCACGGACCCAGACAGGCCAGTTTTAAGTAAGTTTCGTTTGGATGAATTTTGGTAAAAGCAGCTCTGAGCACGGTGCCGTTCGAGTTGTCCAATTTTAGCACTAAACTGGGTGTTGAAGACAGTTTTCCTTGTTAACGACATTACCCTTTTTCAGTTGAGTTCCAAAATGGCAAAATCCAACAAGGAGAAGAGCACGCTCTACAAATATCCCAGTTCATCCAAAGGAGCTCCAACAAGAAGGTATTGGGCATCTCTAACGGTGACATGAACTACACCGGGCCGGTGACTGCCAACGAAGACTATAACACGTTTCTTGTGGTGGAAACGGCCGGCTCCAAGAAAGTAAGTTGTTAAAACTATTCCCCTTTCCGTTGCTGCAATGGCTGCGTGTTTAGCTGAAGCTCCTCCAAGTGGACATGTGCACTGTGGCTCCCTTGCTGCGGTCCTCCACCTCCTCCACGTCACCGGTGCAGCAGAAATCGTTGAACGACCTGCGGAGGCATTTCGGTTCCAAGAAGGCCAAGCGGTTCACTGAACAGCAGGAGCGTTTGAAAATGAACATAGAAAACGTGAAGGAGCAGCTGGAAGACACAGTGGCAGGTGCGGGCCAGGAGACTGCAGCTTTTGGTTCACTTATAGTTTTCCGTTTTCAGGTATTGAGTTGCACGAGATGCCCGTACGGAACCCTGAGCAAGAAGACAGTCTCTACCGGCCGAAGATCAACAGAGACGCCAGCACTAAAGGGGACGTCTATCATCTGGAGGACTTGGTGCCTGCTGGGGTACTGCAGTCTTTGGAGCAACGAGTGAGTGAAATCTTGGAGAGCGAAGACATGGCCGAGTTCGGGTAAGAGCTGTGGAAATTGAGCGCCTTTAAGACCACTAATTGTCGAGTTGCAGGCTGATCTCGACAGTTGAATCGTACATGAAGGCAATGCGTTCCTCCAGTAACCCGGAATCGACGGTGCTGCAGCGCGCATCCATTCTACTCTACGTCCACTACCTGGTAAAGTTTCTAATCACTCCTGTGAAGGCTCTGACGAAAAAGTTCGTCGCTTGCGACTGTTCGCCCGACGTGGAGAAGCACCTACGCTCCAACTACACTATAAACGGGTATGGAAACATCTAGTAATTTCACCAATGGAAAAACTGCAATTCTTGGCTTCTAGTGCTCGGCCACTCACCATGAAGGACAAGGGCCTTTGCTACACTCTAGTCCTGCTGATGATCGCTACGGACTACGAGTTGAATCTGGAGTCAGTGTGCAAGGACATAAAAATCGGGCTGAAAAAAGTGCAAGAGTTTGCCCGCCATTTGGGCTTCAGCACAGGCAAACAGAAAACTAGCATCGTCCTTAAAATCCCCGTGCCTCCGCCCCTGATGCCTAACTTGAAGCGGAAGCGGGCCAAGTGATAGTAATCTTTCGCAATTGAAATTTTCCTAAGAAACCATTATTTTTTGTAAATAAAAATTTCAAACTTGCCTCTATGTTCTTCCCAGACCCACTCAAACTAATTCGATTATTACTAAACGCTAATTATAGGATTACTTGGCTTAGATAAGGAGCCATCAATCCGATAAGTGTTAGTCGAGTGGTTTAATTTCATTTGATGCTGTCCGCTATTGGCTGTTCGGATCACTTTGTGCAAAAATGAAAAGCCTGGGTTTGTGCGCCGCCCTGCTGCTGGTCTGTGTGGCTGAGTGCTGGGCAGGGTGTGCTCAGCTGGTGACTGACTTTTCGCAAGCCAGCTGCATTAACAAGACGAAACACAGCTCTGAAGATTCGTTCTATTATGGCCTGGACGTCAGCAACTGCGTTCCCACATGCTACAAGTACTCCGATGGTAAGCAGAGTTTTGCCAACGCTTTGCGTCTTTCTAATGCCCCTTTTAGTCGTTGATCAACCTTGCGGGTCCGGGGGACAATGCGTGCCTGGGTACAGTTGCCAGAAACGATGCGGGCCGGATGGTAAGGGAACTTAAGGAAGCCTCGGCAGGCGGAATGTTTGCAACTGTTCGATTTTTTCAGATGATCTGAAAACGATCAGTTGCAACAGCGACCAGGACTGCGCCACTGCTGATGGTCAGCTCAAAACGTGCGGCTCCTATTGTGTAGCTGATGGCAAAGGTGTGCAGCTCATCTGCTCCAATGGTGGCTTAGAGTAATGGATTTGAATATTCTTTGCAGCTTCCTGCATGGCCTACCACATCAACAACAGCGACTACCAGGACAGCTACTGGTCAGCGATCAGGTTCAAGCCCGCCTGCAACAATGACGGCACTTGGCAGGCGAAACAGTGCAAGGGCGGAGTTAATGGACGGTGAGTGCTCCGAACTGTCAAACTTGCCGTCTTAGTAACTTGCTTGCCTTCTAGATGCATGTGCTTCGATAGCAATGGAGGTCGAATCTTTGGCGAGGCCTTGGCTAAAAGCGCCGCCAATATGACATGCGGTGAGTTCGGAGTCGTCATCTCTTCAATATTTGGCAAAAAACGATTCCAGCATGCAGCCGACGCAACGCCGATCTGCAGCTGACGCGGCTTACTAGTTTCCATTGCGACAGCTTGGGCAACTATGAGCCGCTGCAGTGCGACCTGGAAAGCGACCAGTGCTGGTGCATGGAGCCTCTTACTGGGGCGCTGGTTTCCAAAGTGGTGCCGTTCAAAGCCCTCAGCCTCCTGCCCTGCTGTAGGCGGTTCCCCTAGTTGGTGGTTGGGTTAGTATTTGATTAAACCATATTTTAGATTCAGAGGACGCGTTTGGCAGCCAGTACTTGAGACAGTGCGAAAGCAAAAAGTACGCCCAAACCAAGATCAAGGACAAGCTTAATCGACATGGCGTGGTTTACTTGACGCAGGACCGTCTGATGTGCGACATCGATGGCAGCTTCGGCGCCTACACAATCGAAAATGACAGGTAAAGGCCAAGGCTAGTTATTAACTGAAGCCTTAGGGTTGACACTATTCGTTTCAGTATCTACTGCACATGGAGGAACAACAGCAAAATTGGCTCCTGGCAAACGGGCATCCAATACATCGCCAGTGTGGATTGTAGTAAGCAAACCAGGCGTTGGTGGTCACACCTATTAATTTTTTTGTGATTGCATCCAGATTGTGCCCGGGACTATTTCAAGTATGGGCAGAGCCAAAACTGCCAGTCCAACGGCAATTACAAGGCTCTGCAGAGCTCGGACAGCTACTGGTACTGCGTCGACGCGGACGGTTTTGCCAAAACCTTTAACATCATCAACGTAGATGAGACCACTTCTGATTCGTACTGTGCACAGTACTACTAAAACATATTGTACCGTGGATGGCCGAGTATCAAACTCTTTCTTCAGCTTCCAACTTTTATTCACCTCGGTATAACTTTAACTACGGAACAGGAGCAAACTAACTTCAAAATTACCGTCAACTTTACAAACAATAACAATAACCGACGGAAAACTCGCTCTTCCGACTCACGGGGTTCAACCTCTTCTGCACCCGCTCGCTCCTGTCACTTCACTCCCCCTGTCTGGTTCTCGAAATCTCCAGAACAGTCAGTGTCATATTTGACACTGGTGAACTTGTCAGTGTCATATTTGACAGTAAGTAGGGCGCAAATGGGGCTCCCATTTACTGAAATACCATTAATTTTAATCCCTCCATTTCAAACGTGAGTCCCCCAGGCCATTTCCGTTACACTGCCCTCCTTCTAAACCCTGATCGCCCCGATTAGGTAATTCCTGGATCATGGTTATATCTGGCCAAACGGTGAATGTGGACAACTTTAAATTTTGCCTGAGGGCTCTTCTGATTGCTCATCAACAGTTGAACGCCGCCGACGTCGCGCGCCGTTTCGCTGGTGTTCTCTTGGCGCACCACGTTGTCCATCCGTTCCATCAGCGTCCTCACCAGGTTGAAGAACTTGAACAGATCGCCAGTATCGGCCAGTTTTCCTTTGCGCTGCTCGCAAACCATTTGCAAACTGGCCCA